CTTCCAGCAATTCTTCAGCCACACTAGGCCTAGAGGCCCAGGTGGCGCCTCACTTCACATCCATCAAGCTCCTCGAGTAGGTCCATTCCTGTTTCCCGTTTCCCCAGCTTGAGTTCTACAGTCCTTCATTTCCTTCTATGGGCTTGGCAGAGCCCACTGATTACATGTCACCCTACACACACGTTTCTGCCATGCTTAGCTTGACACAAGCATGCTGATGATGTTACCTGAACTCATGACTACCAACCTCCATCACTTTCCATTGAACCTGAAGCTCATGGCTTGGTGAGGATGGAGAGTGAGCTTAGGGATCTGCCTGTCTCTCCCCACCTGGGGGCTTCTGTGGGCCCTGCGAATCTGAACTCAGGCTCTCAAGCTTGTACAGTTGGTGTTTTACCAACTGAGCCTCTGACGCTTCTAAGGTAACTATTGGAAGAGAGTTCACAATGCTGACCTTTCATGGGAGAGACTGCCAGGGATGAAGCTGACAGGACCAGGCAGGGCTGAGAGATGGAGGAGGACACAGTGACAGGGTTTCCTGGCCGCATCCTATGAGCTGGCACGTTCACCCATCTTATCTTTCAGTTATGTGCACCAACAAATTCCCCTTGGGGCTTAAGCCAGCTTGATTTGGACTCTATGACAGGCATTCAAAGGGTCTCCTGAGTGACATGAGAGGCCATGAAAATTGGTGTAAATTTTATGGCATTCAGCCCTCATAGCTGCTCCCTCGGGTGGGTAGGTCTGCTTCTCTGTGCTTCAGAGACATAGACATAAGGGTGCACCAGCTGCCTCTTCCTAGATCCCTGATACCCATCCTTGGCACTTCCCAGGATCATGAGGATGAGCCCAGTGAACTGCTCAGTGCTGCCTCTCTGCCCTACCTGAGACCTCAGGAGTGCTGCTTCTGTTATCACAAAGGCTAAGTGCCCAAACAGCACCCCACCCCCTTCCTGACAGATGCTCAGATGCAATTACCACATAGATGAGGGCGGTTCCATGGCTTGACTGAGCATCTGACCCGGGATCCGATTTCAGAGCTTGTGTGAGTTCAGTTTTTTGGTCTTTGTTGTTTTGACATGTTTCCGGAGGTAAGAACCAGGTCTAATAATATGTACAAGGACAGTCCTGCATAGTTTAAAAAGCAAGCTGCTCCATCAAGTGACAAAGCAACCCACATCAGGAAGAGCTGATGCGGAGCTCACATCTCACATTACCATCAAAACCATGAGGGCTGGTTCTAGTCAGCTGCTGGGATAAGCACTTCATACCCAGCATCTAATTTAATGCAGATAGTAGCTCTCACATGTGGCCATTACTTTAATTTCATGTCACTGTGAACCAGGTGGGGCTCAGAGAGTTCACATAACTCACACACAAGTCATCAGGCATCATCATCAAAGCCCAGAGTTGAAGCTGAGCCTGTGGTCAGTGTCTGTGGACTGAACATACACACTGTCCTGTCTCTCAAGAGAAGGAGGGGTCTGTCATTACACTAGGGGGCAGATGATCCCAAACAAAGTGCCATGATTCCCCCAGAATTCTCCAAGGCCTGAATTCTCCGACCTAGAGGTTCCAGAGGATGAAGAAACTATGTCCTCAAGGCCTGTGTAAGGCAATGTGGCCGAGCGCCAGAGAATGTTTCTGGTTGCTTCAGCCTCTCTGTCCCCATTTCTCTCTGAACGCAGAGAACTTCAACATGGCTTATCTGGGGACCTCCTCGCTGCTGGGCCTGCCAGTGTCCTGGCCAACTTGAGCAGGCACTGAGACCTTGGACTACTAAACTCTCCCAGCCACACACTTGAGTAACCTGGGATAGACCATGCAGGTTGCCTGCTGCTGTTCCACAGCCTCTCCCCGTGACTTGGCTTCCTCTTCCTCTTTGACAGTCCCAGAAGGAATTTCACTTAGCACCTTGCAACAGCAAAAGCTCTGATCTATGGTTAATTAGACCTGGATCTACCTTTCAGACCAACTCTACCCTTTGTAACAAGGGCAAGCTGTCAAACCTCCCAGGGTATCCAATTCCTGTATAAAGCAGGAAAACACCCGTGGTTTTCAGAAGTATCTGTCTATGGCATGTTGAGCACTGGCTTGCAGAATGAAGTTAATAAATGGTAGCCTTCTCTTCAATTTTGGCTCTTTTTCTCCCAACAGTTATTTAAACAGAAACTTTGACTTAATTTTTTTCCCGAGAACTATGAAAAGAGGAGTTGGCAGCTGCTAGAGACTTAACCACCAGACCTTTTACCCAGCATCACCTCTCCAGCCCTGCTAGGCAGAGGAAGGCTTTTTCTCCCAACAGTTATTTAAACAGAAACTTTGACTTAATTTTTTTCCCAAGAACTATGAAAAGAGGAGTTGGCAGCTGCTAGAGACTTAACCACCAGACCCTTTTAACCAGCATCACCTCTCCAGCCCTGCTAGGCAGAGGAAGCTTCCTCCATCACTTAGAAATCCAAGATGTTTAAGCCGTTTTCCAACATGTTTTCCCTTTGTTGTGTGGCTGGCAGGCTTCAGAAGGCCATAAAGTACTCTCAGTAGCCTCGGTGGACATGTGAGAGCACCCTCTAGGAGACAGGTGGTAAAGTCCCACATTACACAGCTGGTGGCTGGGGGTCAGAACCAGCTGAGTCGGCACTCTGCCCCAATTCCAGTGCTCCTTCCCTATTGCATTGCTTGGGTTCAGAGACTCCTCAAGAGCCAGGCTTGGGGCAGGTGTGCACAGCCAGGGATAAGGAGAACAGATGTCACAGGCCACAGAGCCTGGGGCAGGGCTCCACCTAACTTGGATAGACAGGAGACTGTGGATTAGGTCCAGCATGACTGGAGGCTTAGGAACCCTGGTCAGTGGTGCTTGTCTGCGTGTCAGTCAGTCATGTGCCTGTTGCCCGGCAGTCATGGATTTTCTGGTGCCATTGCTAGCCAAGTCCTACCTAAAAGCCACTTGGCACTGTGGAAAGATGGCAGGTTTGAGGTCACCACGTGCTGCTCCCAGCATGAGCTCAGTCTTATGTGAACTAGCTAAGTGTGCACAGCCACCTTGAACTCTCTTACCTTCTGTTTTTCATCCACAGACCCATCAGAGCAGAGCAGATTAAATCAGAGATAGTTTGAGAATTCCTGGAACATTGGAGGACCTCAGAAAACATCACCCCTCACTACCTAGGCAAAGGCTGTGCTTTCCTGGTACTAAGCTCCCAGTACTTACTGCTCTGGATCTGGCCTTTATCAACACCTGTGGATGTCTTCAAGGCAGCCTTGGGACAGCGTGCTGGACAGCTGCAGTTGTCAACTTGACAACTGGGTAGAAGGAATCTCAACTGAGGAATTTCCTCCAATGTACTGACCATGTCTGTGGGGCATTTTCTCAATTGTTGAGTGATGTGGGAAGGCCAAACCCTGGGCAGGTAGTCTTGCGTTGTATAAGAAAGCATGCTAGGGGCTGGAGAGATGGCTCAGCGGTTAAAAGCACTAGCTGCTCTTGCAGAGGACCCAGGTTTGACTCTCAGCACCCACATGGTGGCTAACAACCAACCATAACTCTAGTTCCAGGGGACACAACGCCCTCTTCTGACCTCAGGCACTGCATAGCATGGGCACATCTCCCTACACACAAGCAATACACTCATACATGTAAAATAAAAATAATAAATATTTTTAAAAAGAAAGCAGGCTGAGCACAGGACAGAGGAGCAAGCCAGTAAGCAGTGTTCCTCCATGGCCTGTGCTCCAGGTTCCCGCCCTGAGCTCCTGCCTTGACTTCCCTTGATGATGGACCGTGCGGTAAGCTAAAACCCCAGTTTGGTTTTGGTCAGTGTTTTTATCACAGCAATAGGGAGTAACCAGAACAGACAGTCTCCCTGAAACAGCATCTTTCTAATGAGCTCGTTGCTGGGGGCACAGGGCAGAGTGAGAAAGAGTGGGAGGGACCCTTCTCTCAGGAGTGTGTCTGTAAGTCTGAGATCTGGGGTCCGATGAATCTCCTCCCCAGTTTGTGTCAACGCAAAATAGAGATTTGTCAAGCAGCTACCACGTATGACTATGTGAATAGGATAGTAGGGAACAGCTTCTACTTACTGAGCTACCGCCTAGACAGTACTGTGTTGGTGTCTGTGTGTATATGTGTGGGGTGCACAGGTGTATGGGTACATGTGGGAGCATATGTGTGGGGTTCACATGTGCATGGGTACATGTGTGTGAGCACATGTGGAGGTCAGAGGACAGATTCGGGTGCTATTGCTCAGCACCTTCCATGGTTCCTGAAATGGGGTCTCTTATTGGCCTGGAACTTGGTCAAGTCAGCTACACTAGCTGATCAGGAAGCTTCTGGGGATCTGCCCATGTCAGCCTCTCATCTTGTCATCACTGGGATTACAAGTCTACACCACTGTACCTGAAGTTTTGTGGGGGTTCTGGGGATCAGAACCCAGGTCCATGTAGTTATGAGGCAAATGACTTACTGACTAAGCCATCTCCCCAGCCTAAACTTGGAGTCTTGGATACTTTCTGTAAGTTTATAGATAATGGGAACCATTTGAAATGGCCCAGGTGTCTATTGAACATGCACTAGAAAAAATCTGTCTGTCTTCAAAAGCACAGCACTCTGTGCTTCTGTGGAACGGCCCTAAGGCACTTTGCTGGGTGTGCTCCAGATGTGTTGTGCCCCTCCCCAGATGGCATGAACAAGGTGTCCTGGCTTCCTACAGTGAGCTTCTGCGAGGATGAGGGGTCAGGACATTTCCTCCCTGCTCCCCTCATTTGGGCTCTGCACAGCCTGGCTCCTCCACAACTTCAGCACTGTTCCTCACTGCACTGGACGAAGGCTTCAGTTCCTCTGGGACACTGGACTCTATTTCTTCCCCTTCCCTTCTGGGCAGTAAACCTTCCCCAAGTAAACTGTGTGGAATTTTGTTGCCTGCCTGGGCACTGACAATGATCTAGCTATATTGTGATCATTATAGAGGGAACCCTCCAAACAGAAACAACCTGCTACTGACCTCCCAAGAAACTTTCCGATCATCTTCACCATCAGCGTCCCCACCAGGCCACCAATGGCAAATATGGACACAGTCACGGACCAGAGCAGAGTGAGAGTGTCCGGGTCTACGGGAAGTCCATGCCTTCTGTGCCACGTTTCATTGTAAAAGGCCTTGATGTTCTGTAAATAAACAACAAAGGAAGTTATTTCCTTCTGTTCCACCTGCTGCTGGGAGCAAACCAGTATGCAACTCAAGAAGATCCTTCAAGGAACACTTTGTCATGTTTGGCACCCTGCAGATAGGGCAACAGACTTGGAGAGGCAACAGGACTTGTTCAGAAAGTGTTAAGCCTAGGAATCAGACTCAGATCTGGCCCTAAGCTCTAACTTTAATACACAGTGGCATCAACTTTGGAATGTGTTAAATGTGACCATGTCTAACAGAAGATGTACTTTATAATAGGCAAAGGCAGATAACACAAAGAAAACAACCACAAAAGAAAAAATGTTCACTTGGATTGTGTCATAATTAAAGTCTTTGTTCTCCCAAAGACACCACCAGTAAAGGAAGACAGAGGACCAGCAAGATGTCTCAGTAGGTGGAGGTGCTTGTCACCACGACTGATGACCTGAGGTCGCTCCCTGGGACTCATGGTAGAAAGAGAACCAAATCCCACAAGTGGTCTTCTGACTTCCATACGTGCTGTGGATACACCCACATACCAATAAGTGAATAAACACAATAAAAATTATTTTTAAAAAGAAGCCAAGGACTAAATGAATATATTTGTAATGCTACACCTACAAGGAACAAGTATACACAATACATAAAGAACTCTGACATACCAATTAGAAAGCAAATACAATAAGTAAACAAGGGACCTGAACAGAACCTCATCAAAATGCAGATGCCCAATTAGGCCATGACAGGCTCTGCGTCATCAGTCAAAGGAAAATGCAAATGAACCACCCATCATGAGGGACATCTTCTCACCCAGCCCATCTCAACACTGCTGCTGAGTTTAGTACAAGGAGTGGGTGGTTCTAATGTACAGCACAGACTGAGGTCATGGCACTGTGTTAAGGGAGTTCATCTGCCAAACAGTATTAGTTGTGCATGGCTACCAACAAGGACCCACAAAAATTAGCACGGCTAGTAAATGTCATTGCAGGAAAAGCTTAGGTTTGCAGCTCACAGACTTGAGCTCAGATCTCAGTACTATGGTTTGCTAATGATTTAAGTCAGCTGCAGAGTGGGCATCTTCACCAGAAGAAGGATGGAAAGATGGCACTGACATCTGGGAGCTGATGTGAGGGAGAACATGGACCAGTGTCTGGCTCACACAATTCCCACCTAGGTGAAAATGCTCTTATGTACAGCTTAGCAGACCTATTTCTAGAAAGTTTCATTGCACAACTTGGCCACAGGCCCTAGAGTATATCTACTCAAACATCCGAGGTAACATTACTCCTAAAAACCCCAAACAAGAAACAGCCCAATGTCCACTGACAGCAGAAGAGGTAAACAGATTATGGAACACTCAGAATGTGAAACATTAGGGCTGCAAACATGAATAACAGCTACACACAAGCAGAGAGGAAAATCTCACAATAATATTGCTCAAAAGAAGAAGAAGAAATGCGCAGTGTGATTCCATGTATAAAATTCAAAGGTAAACAGAACTGAAAGCCTTCTGGTAGAATCCTACACGAATTGCAAAACTATAAAGAAAGGCTTTCAATTCAGTGGTTGTCAAGGGGATGACTTAAGAGATGATTGCTCCATCAGACCTTCAATTTGTTACCCAAATGGTGGTTACATAGATTCTAGACTTATAATCAACCTTTATCTTTTATCCAAATACATATATATGTATGTTAGATATATGGGAAATATATGTTAGCATTTTATAGATACATATTTGTGTCTTATGTATTCTTTCATGAGTGCACACACTTAGTCACATTAAAAGTTAACAAAGGAAAAACGGGCATGGTGGTGTACGCCTTTAATCCCAGCACTCAGGAGGCAGAGGCAGGCAGATCTCTGTGAGTTCCAGGCCAGCCTGGTGTCCATTAGAGAATCCAGGCCAGCTGCAGCAAGACCCGAAAAAACAAACAAACAAACAAAACCAAAAACCAAACAAAAAAACCCCAAAAAGTTAACAAAGCAAAACACAGAAGGAGGAGGAGCCTCCGGCGGAGGGAAACGCACCCAAAAAGCATGGAGGTGGGCTGGGGCAAGGGCTCAGTGAGTGAAGTATTTACCACACAAGCATGGGGACCTGGGTTCCAGCCCCAGAACTCATATAAAAACAATCTGGCACAGTGGCTCGTGTTTGCAATCCCAATTCTGGGATTACAGGTGAGCCCAGCCTCGCTAGTCAGCCAGCCAGCCCACTGAATAGGCAAGTCCTAGGCCAGTGACCAACAAACAAAAACAAACAAAAGACGATGAACAGTTTCGGAGAAACAACACCCATGGTTGCTGATCTCTGACCTCCACACATGCGTGCATACAGGTACATGCATACTCACACACGTGCACCCACAAATACAAGACACCTGGTGGGAAAAGCTTGGGTGTTCACAACAAGAGAGAAGATCAGTGGGAATGGAAGGAAAGGGGTGGTGGAAGGGTGGGTCACGTGGGCCTTAAGGAGCCTAACCCTAAGTGTGGTTTTCCTTGGGTTTTACTCTAGGTAGGGTACGGTTGTGAAGCAAAGGGGAAGAGGTGTGTTTGCATTTTCAGAGGATCTCTCTGGCTGCAGAGTGGCATGTG